TTATCATTTGCCTGAGTATTGTAAGAAGAACCTGGCTCAGGTTTCAACACACAGCTCTCCAGCTGCATAAGTTGTTCATCACAGGAGCTAAATTGAAGTTTCACCATTTGGAACTTATTTTTTTCCCCTATTCAAACACTTGGTTGCAGCTTGTTGTGAAGTTATATATCTGTTCATCCTTCTCCTTTTCCTGATGGGCATAATTCCTGATTTTCATGGAGCTGCTTGAATATAAAGCTTATTATTAGTTTTGGACATTTAATTCTTTTTACTTTTCAGGCAACTTCCATTCTTGCTCCAAAGCATTGTAGAGGTGAATGCCAGTTGGCACCATGCACACTGCCTCTCTGGGCACATGCTTTCTTGGGGCATGTTCCCCACCTGAGCAGCAAAGCCTGAGGCTAATGCCTTGCTTGAGGTAGATGTATGCATGGCATGTGGTCCATTAGGTGCTGGATGTTGGCACTGCGGGTGCTGGTAGGGTTCACCAGGGAATGATCCACCTTTAGGCTTTTCTGTTCTGCCCCACCGTGCCATGTGGAGTGGGTCATCAGCTCTTTCCTCCTGCTTGCCCCAGTGTGGGTCAGGATAGACTCACTGGGTGCCTTCCCCTGTGATTGGAGCTGTGAGTTCAAAACATGACCTGGGGTTAAAGGACAAACAGTGCTGACTGGGAGCAACATCTCTTGCCTGCCCTAAAATTTGAACTCCCAGGCAGCAGTAGGGCACATGTGACATTTTCTAAAGCTCTCGTGTGCACAGGAATAAAAGGTTTAGTTGGATGCACTGGAACACAGCTCCTCTTTGGAACATGACAGATGTGTGCATGGCAGCTGGTGCCTTTGCTCACACTCATTGGCTGAAGTGTCACTTTTCCCCCCAGACTCTTCAGTTCAGTTAAACCCTCCTGGTTCTGGGGGGATGCTGGCCGGGAGCAGAGGGGGCAAGGCCAAGCAGTGTGGGGCAGGCGGCATGGCCGGGGCGCTTCAAAGCGCGGGGGCGCAGAGGCCGAGCACAGCCCCGGCCGAGCTCACAGGGAGTGCGTTTTCGCTATTATTTCAATTATTACAACTTCCTGAATAGGTCGAAGGTCGTTCATAACTCACGCTTCTGTCATCTTTACACATGCCAAATGCAGTCTATTAAGCATAAATAAAATTTCAAGTGCCTGACCAGGAAAAGTAAACTGGGATTCATAACAATGAGGCCTTATTCATCCATTTAAAAGTAAATTGTGTGTGTTCCTTTTTTCCCCCCCCCCTCCCCTTTCCCTTTATGGCTTTGCAGTTTGGGAGCATTTATTTCTGCTCAGTAGCATAGATCTTTGACCTGCAGTGTGGGCAGGCACAGAGGGCTGATGAGCCAGGCCTCCCCCAACTTCTCCCCACCTCGGACCCCCTGAACTTTGAAAGTGTTTCCAGATCTGGATCCGATTTTGCTCTTCCTATATAAACTGCAGTCACACACCACTGATCCCAGGGCATGTGAAATGTGCATCTGGCCTTTGCTTTTATTTTTCCCCCCCTCCTCTGGTTGTTTGTCTCCCGTGCAGCAGCTCCTCCTATATTCGGTCTCGAGGCAGTCTGGTGCACACTTGCACAGGTTAACCTAAAAAGGTTGGTTAATGGAAGGGGCTTGGTAGGCTGGAGAGGTGATAGACAGAAAATTAAAACCTTTCATTAATTGTAGTAGAGCCAGGACTGCATCCAAGAAATCTTTAAGGTTTGCAATTGAAAAAATCCACTTACTCTATGTTAACATTTCCTAATACTAAAAATACTGCCTGCAGTAGAGGCACTGTTGTTGCAAAACATGGGCAGCCTGGGGGAAACCTGTGGGGCTGGGGAAGAATTTATGAGCTTCCCCTGCTGGGGGGTTGCAGGACTCCCCACTGCCTGCTCTCAGGAGGCTGCTGCTGCCTAAAAACTTGAGCAGTGTGGTTTGTTTCAACAGTTCACTTCTTTTTCTCAGATGGTAATTTCAGGAGGTTTTAGGTGGGAGGAGTGAGAAGAAGCTTTTTACGTTAAGTAATAAAGACAGCTCTTAAAATCAGATTGAATTTACCTGTATGGACGTTTTGGTTTAAATTTCAATATGTTTTATTTTGGATTCTCACTCCAGCTCGAATTTATGTATAAACTGTTAGTGAAGGTGGATTTTTTTGTACATACCAAAATGTTACAAACTATTTTTAATAATAATTCAACCTAGTATTTTAATATTAATGATGTGAAAATGCCAGAGCTGGAAATCTGTCATTTGGACCTTGTTTTGGAGGACATTAGGTCTGAGATGCAAAATATAGAAACATTACTCATGGAGTTCTTCAGCATACTCCATCACATCTCCTCGCTGATGTATGGCCAGGGAGTTTCTGATGGGTAGCTTAATCATCTCTGATATTTTGATTGCCAACACATACAGGACAACTGGCTGCAGAGTTTACTCCCTGTTTAGGGATTTGCCCTACAACTGCAAGAAAGATGCTGCATCGTACTGGGGCTTCCCAAAGAGAAGTGATGGGCCCCAGCACAGCACTTCATGAACAAGACCCTCTTTATGACTCTGTGCAGTCTATGCGTCCTCACTTTGTGACAAAAGGTGAAAAGGTCTATTAAAATACCTTTGATGGGTCAGGAAAAACACTGGAGAAGACTTTGCTGTGATTTTTGTTCGCTCCTTGGTGTGGATGCACCACTGACCTCGGAAGAACAGCTGAGTTTACCCATCTCTAACAGAACTTGAGAGCATCAAAGCAAGTCCTGGGCAGAGCAGGAGCTTCGGCACAGTCCCTCTGGGATGGTGGAGGTCCCACCTGGCTGCGTGGTGGTCTGCTCCTGCTCCCACCCGAATAGGGAGTTCTGCAGAAGTCTCTCTTGTCAGCATGCGCATATTATTATCCCACATATTGTTTCCACACAAAGCCAGCCAGAAACCAGACTTACCGTCCACAGATCTGACTGCAGCTTCCCTTTCAGATGTCTTGAGACCATTATATTTCTGGAAGGAAAAGGACAGTTTTCAATACATTTATCCTAATAAATAGAAAACCAAGGATTGCTTACAGCACATATTCACTGGATGTGGCACTGACATCAGATTTATTTTCATGACATAAAAGCTGGCTTCACTTAAATGTTTCAACCTTTGATCAGATGAGCAGTGTCGTACCAGTGCATCCCCAGCATGCCAAAGCCTATGCAGCATCCTTTGGCACTGATGGCAGCATTGGCTCCAGAGGGGATTGTCGTACCAGACATCCAACCAGCTGCATGAAGAGACACACACAAGACTCTGCCACACCTCTCTTGGCCTCTTGTGTCCTTCAAAATACTCGGTAGAGTTTGAAATTCCCTCGACAATGGATAAAAATGTGAAGCCTCAAGCAGCCCCAGCTGATTGTTTGGTAAGGGCGGTGTGGAAGAGGGAGCTGCAGCCTTGGCAGATCAGGCTTCCCAAAAACAACTTCTTCTGTTTTTTAGGAGGGAAATTGGCCACAAACAGGGGGCTGTGGTACAGATACCTCGTGCCCTGTGTGTTTTACCAGTGCTTTTGTCACCTGACAAGGGGTGAGCACTGGGGCGGTGGGATGAGCTGCCCTAGCAGACTCCACCACCATTCCCTGCTCCCTCCTCTGGAGTGGCTTTTGGGACAAGGTGAAGAAAATAAACTAAATACTAGGAATGCTTGTTATTTCTTTATTTTTCGTTATTTAGCCCATGTCTGTGGGCATAGGTTGTGCAGAAAGAAACGATTAGGCTATACGGCCACCTCCTGGAGGACACCGGTATGTGCTGCCTGCTGGTGGGTGTGTGCGACCAGGCAAGGAAGGCACCCACGATGTGGGTGACAATTCACGTGTGACCAGGCAATGAAAGCACCCCTGCATCCCTAGCCACCTGTCCGTACCTGTGACAAATGCATCTGTGTGACTTTGAACAGCGTAGGTGATTTTCAACCTGCAATGAGTGTTGAGAGTTAAGAGTTTGGTAGTGAAACCTTTAAAAATACATTAGCCTGAGAAAAAGCAAAGGCATCATATTTTAGCATAGGAAACATAGCTGTCATGTGTTTTTGTTTAACAAGGCCTGAGGTAGTTACTAATATTTATTTGAGCTGCTTCATGGAGCTTTTTAGTGCTCTTCAC